AGGGGTGTCCAACCTTGGCAATTTTAAGACTTGTGGACTTCAACTCCCAGAGTTCCTCAGCCAGCTTTGCTGGCTGAGGAACTCTAGGAGTTGAAGTCCACAAGTCTTAAAATTGCCAAGGTTGGACACCCCTGCTTTAAGGCATGGTTTCATATCAGAATAGCTGAGTTCATACAACAAACTGAATAAAAAACAAACAAACCCCCTTCACAATGTTTAACTGGATATAGCAGGGCTGGCACTTTAAGAAGGCAAAGGTGACTAATTTGTATGCAGCTGAATAATTTGATTGAGTCTACTTAATTAATAGGGCTCTCAATTTGGAAAATCTAATCTCAACTAATTTCTAACATTTAAAATGACCTTACTTTAACTGTCAAAAGCTTTGTTGTATAGATGTTTTTATTTAAGAAAAAAGATTCAGAATGAGTTAGATTAACATTGTAGATTAATATAATACAAACTAATATGGTCTGTGAGTATTGCATATTGTCACTCCATCTAAGAAGCAGTTCCAAACTTTAGCCTTTTTTAAAAAAATAGTCTACAGTTTTGTTACTTCATTTTTTCCCCTTTGTTTTAGTTTATTTTTTTCTATTTTCCTTTCACAAGTATAAATTTCCATGTAAGGGTTTTAGGGAGAGTAATAGATAGTTGGGCTGAATTGTTTGCTATTTAAAATTTCTATTTTCTATTTGTTTTATTTCTATGGGTGATTTCCCCGCAAACTTTATTAAATTTTGGTGTTTTTAAAGAAAATCAATAATTTATTTTAAAATATATACAGTATAGCCTGTTGGATTTTATGGCCAGGTCACAGGCTTAATAATGTGTCTGCTGGCCTTCTAGCATTACTTTAATATTACTTTTGTTTAATTAATCCTGTTTTGTAGATTCATCTAACTCATACATTTACAAACTAGTAAAAGATTGGATCTTGTAACATTCTAGTTTAAAATGTGATTGGCTTTTTTTTTGTGTTTTCAGTTTTATGCAATTGCTTTAATCCTATGCTGTATCTGTCTGTCTGTCTGTCTATCCTGAATTTATAAATATTCATAATCAGAGGTATTCAGCATGTTCTGACCAGTTCTGGAGAACCAGTAGTTGAAATTTTGAGTAGTTCAGAGAACCGGCAAATACCACCTCTGACTGGAGATTTTACAATATCCTTCCCCTGCCACACCCACTAAGCCACACTCACAGAACCGGTCGTAAAAAAAAAATTGAATCCCACCACTGCTCATAATACAAAAAAGTTCAGCTTCCTCTTGCTTTTATATGATTAAGCTACAAGTCTGCTTCAAATTCATCTTCAGCCACTAACTGATTATAGGCTGATCAGTTTCTCAGCTCACAGGGTTATGAGGTGAATCTGAAGGCACATTCTGAGGATATATTCAGCATTTGCTGGAAAGGGCAAATATAGAACTAGTAGAATAATGTTTCAGTAGTTTGCTAACAATTATTCATAGTGTATTTTCTTTAAAGTGTAATATATTTTATTATATTTATTTGGTACATCAGAATGAAGTTTTAAAAGACTGTCAGTTCTGAAAGAACTGTAAAATGGTTTGAATTTGTTAGTCTTCCAATCAAATACTGAACCTGGAAGAGTAAGGTGGAAACTTTGCTGTTGAAGCTAGTCACTTACCTCTTAGGTTTAATGCTTGATTACAAAATAAATTACTATATTTCCACAAATATTCTGCGCTAAATTAACCTTTAAAGAATTATGCACCGAGTTCTGTTATGCATAAAACTCCTGTTTGTAAAGATACTCATGTAATTTCTGCTTCCTAAAGCAATTGCTTTGTAGACATTGCTTTAAGTACTTTTTTCCCCCAGAAGTAGGCCTGTTGTTTTCTCTTTTTACCCTTAATAAGATCTTAGGGGTGGGGAACCCTCCTGCTGTGACTTTTAAATAGGGCATCTGGTGATAGAAACCTTGTTCTTGACCTCATTCCTAAGAAGGAGAAATATGTCAGTTGCTACCAACATCCCTCTCACTCAATGTCAGCTGAGTTGATGATGTGATGGCAGGAAAAGGAAAAAAAAGGTGGGGGAAAAAACCCAAGATGTGCCAAAATTAACACATGAAGGAAACCAAGTGAACAGATGAATTCATCTTGAGAAATCTGACTGAATGTAACCAAATGGACAGCCATTGATTGGGCAGGTGGCTCCCAATTCATTGCAGTTCAATGACCTCTAAAATACTACCTGAAGATCATTTTTGGACCATATGCTTAGATTTCAGTAAAGAAGAAGTCTGTGATGACCTGCATGGCTAGATTCTTACATTATTCTAATTCATGATTTCTTTAATTACAGTTGATTACAACTTATATTGCAAAAAGCCATAAATCATTATAAACCACTGTGATCCCAAACCACATATAATCCTAGCTAGTTTAGTTTAGTTTACTTTATTGTCATTGCATCTCGTACAATGAAATTAAATACCATCTTCAGTGTACATTATGATTATGAAAATAAACACAAACACACATCCTTCACATTCAATTCAATTCTACATTGAATTGAAAACCCCTGATATTGCATTAATATTGCCCTATACAGTAGAATTCAACAGAGTTACTGCCCTGGCTGGGATAGAAGCTTTTTTTTTCAGCCTATTTGTCCGGAGAACAATTTCAAATACCCTTTCTTTCTTGCTTCTCCATCTTCAGAAACAAAGCTGACTTGTTGGAAACATCTCCCACTCCATGCAACATTCAGTTCCCTTCTCTGTGAACACAGGTAGCCCTTGACTTACAACCACAACAGAGCCCAGAATTTAGGTTGCAAAGTGAGACGTTTATGAAATGAGTTTTCGCCATGTTAGGACTTTTCTTGCCATAGCTGTTAATCACTGCAGTTGTTAAGTTAGTAAGATGGACGTTAAGTGAATCTGGCTTCCCCATTGCTTGCCTCAAGGTTATAAAAGGTGACCACATGACTCTGGGGGTACTACAACTGTCATAAACATGAGTCAGTGACCAAGCCTCTGAATTTTGATTACATCACCATGGGGATGCTGCAATGGTTGTTAAGTGTGAAAAATGGGCATGTCACTTTTTTCAGTGCCATTGTAACTTTGAACGGCCACTAAAAGAACTTGTAAGTCAAGTACTTGTTGTAAATCTGTACTGTACAGTGTGTTGATAGTGACATTATCCTAAGGATGCTGGAGAAACACAGGATATTCTCTGGATGCCACTGCTCTGGAACCTTTAAGCCAGGGATGTCAAACTTGATTTCATTGAAGGCTGCATCAGGGTTGTCTTTGACCTCGGAGGGCCGGGGTGGGCGTGGCCATCATGATGTTACTCCTGTGAGGGGGGTTGCCTATGGTGGCCCGAGCACT